GGTGGCTCTGGATGTTTCTACTCCAGACTCAGTCCACTGCTTCCGCAGGTCCCCCAAGGTCTGGAATCGGCCCTTCTCCACAATCCTCCTAAGGGTCCGGGGTCCGGTCACCTCTTCTCGTTGTGCAGCGTTTTCTGCCACACTTTTCCCTTCCCACATACTTCCCACTGAGGTGCCTTGATACAGCACTCTGGGAACAGCCTATTCGTTCAACAGTTTCTTTCTGTGTCTTACCCTCTTGCTTGAGGGTGTCAATGATGGCCTTCTGGACTGCAGTCAGGTCGGCAGTCTTACCCATGATTGCGGTTTTGAGTAATGAACAAGGCTGGGAGTTTTTAAAAGCCTCATGAATCTTTTGCAGGTGTTTAGAGTTACGTCGTTGATTCAGATGGTTAGGTTAATAGCTTGTTTAGAGAACCTTTTCATGATATGCTAATTTTTTTGGACAGGCATTTTGGGTTTTAATGAGCTGTATGCCATAATCATCAGTATTAAAACAATTAAGACCTGAAATATTTCACTTGGTGTGCAATGAATCTGAAATATATGAAAGTTTCATTTTTATCATTACATTATGGAAAATAATGACCTTTATCACAATATGCTAATTTTTTGAGAAGGACCTATACCCTGCTCCTCTGTCAGGATCCACTGCAGAAAGTTGCTCTTCACTTGTGGACACTTTTGGTAAATTACTTCTCACCACTAGTCCCCCAGGTCTCCCACAGAGCTCTGGGTGCCACATAAATGCACAATTCATACTTATTTCGAGGGCTGCAGGTGCTTGGTTGTGAAAACAAGTTCCCCCTCCCTGGGGGCACAATGAAGAGGGGAGGAGAGTGAGATGAGAATTAATTTCATATGTTGTCAGATGTATATATTTTTCGTCTTTATTTATATAGGTAGTTTCATTGAGTCATGAGGACACCCCACATGCTTTAGTCCATTTATTAAGTAAACATTACACTGAGACAAACCTTTGCTATAATTTCGATCAAACAATTGTTTAGGGGCTTTTCTTAAATTTTGTACAACTCATCGCGTGCATGCGTTTACTTCTGCGTATCGGGTTTTGAAATACAGCTGATTTAACAGTCAAAGTGCATTTATTAAGCAAAAGTTAGATTGATACACACATTTACTATAATTTCAAACAAGTAATTGTTTGTGTTAATCTTGTTGAAGTCCTCCCGTGCACAATCCCGTAGCCGCCATTTGACAGCCCATCGGGTTTTTTTTGTTCACATTTCCAGGCCGTCAGTGGTGACGCATAATAGATGCGACTTGTACAGCGAAGCAACATATTTATGGATTTTTCCACTTCATTAGACAAATATGGACTGATGCAACTTGTGGGGAGGAGCGACGTGTACAGTGGAAAATACAGTAATAAGATGTAAGATATGAACTAAGAAATATGTTAAACTAAGAATACACTAAGCACTAATGTCAGCTTATATAGCAGCTTATAGTCTGGAAATTATGGTAGTTTTGACCCTCTGGGTCAGATAAAAGTGTTTAAAACAATATTGAAGTCGTATAACACTTTCACCCTGAGAACAGGACACTTCAAATAAATCATTAAATTTTAATTAAAGCTTAAGTATGAAATGAGCCATATAAATATCCACAATTAGTCTGGAAGAGTTCATCCTGGTAGGTTTCAGATGTATAAATGCAGGTACACACTCGCCGTAAACGAAGCACTTCCATGCTCGCCCTCCACTGTAGAAAACATCCAGTCTCTGAGGAAACTTCTTTTATTGGAAATCTGAGAGAATTTACTGCTCAACAAACGTCAAGGAGCAAGTAAACGAGCTAAAGCAGAGCAGTGGAGCAGCATAAAGAACTGCTCAACATTCAAACTTCTTATTAATAAACCATTTTTTTACTCAGGTTCAAACGGTAAGCATGCTGGTTTGCCTATCTTTTACATACGTGACAAATTTAAGCGCAAATATAAACTGTTTCATCAAAATCATCAGACTTGTCGATCCCGAGCAGCTCAGAGTCTCAATAATGTGACATTCATGCCCATGACAGAAACTTCTGCCTACAACTGTGCATCAAAACTCTTAATTTGTATTATTTGAGTTATTTACTGGGTTAGTGTTCAGGGTGAACCAGGGTAATGTGGACAAACGGATGCTCAGACTCTGAGCTGACTGCAGTTGGTGGATGTGGCATGAAGTGACTTCTGACCTGCAGCTGGTTCTCTCTCTGCAGCTGGTGTGTTCTGTGCCATCGTGTCCCATCCTGCTGACTCCGTGGTGTCTGTTCTAAACAAAGAGAAGGGCAGCACTGCCTTGCAGGTCCTGAAGAGACTCGGTCCCAAAGGTTTGTCTTTACGTTGGCTCCTTGGATTTACCTCTGGAGAGCGTTCAGGTGGTGATTGATAAATGGGCTGCTCTCGGATCAGTTTCAGTGTTCTGTGTTTTTCAGGTGTGTGGAAGGGTCTGGTTGCTCGTATCATCATGATCGGAACTCTGACTGCCCTGCAGTGGTTCATCTACGACTCCGTCAAGGTCTACTTCCGCCTGCCCCGCCCACCTCCCCCAGAGATGCCAGAGTCCCTGAAGAAGAAGCTTGGCCTCACAGATTAACACCCCCGCACACACACACACACAGTCCTTCAGTCCAGACCTGCTCCCCAGCACACAGCAGATTTCTATATTTATGTCCTGGGCTCATACTGCTCCACAGCACAGTGTCCCTCTGTAGAAACTCCTGGATGGTTTTATCACTTCCTGTCATTAGAACATGTGGAAATTCTAATAAAATAAATTTCCCAGGAAAATCCCAGCTGTTCATGGCTCAGGTTTATTTTTTTTACCTTTTTAATTATACATGTAGTCTCAGTGTCACGAGGACCCAGTCCCCAATAGAGACATGGACAGCTCTGTGAGCGCCCAAATGTGACAAAGCTAAATGTTTTGGTGGCATGAACCTCGTTATCCCGTCAAAAAAAAAACATAAATTAGCTGCAGCATTGTATAGGCTGCAAGGGTCAGCGTGTGGAAAAAGTAGCAGCTTATAGTTCGTAAATGACGGTAAATGTGTTTATTATTAAACAGCAGGTAGTGTCTGTACGGCCACTGTCGCTTTTGACCCTGTAGCCTTTAAATCAACAAGGATCACCGAAGTTACTGCTTTGAAGTTGGACATTTCTCTCGGTTATCAAATTAATTTTTATTTATAAAGCACCAAATCACAACAAAGTTGTCTCAGAGCACTGAATGGAAACATTCATATACTGTACAAAGTCAATTAGTAAAACTTATCTAAGGAAAGACAGTAGATGCGTTAAATCTTCACTTCGTCTCATGGAAGGGATGATCTTGACCTTTGACCCCATGACCCCAACATCAACAAGAATCATTGTTTACAAAAGGTGTACTGATGTGAAGTTTGACATTCCTGCAGTACACATGCAGAGTTGGAGCTCGGACAAGAAACTGTCCACAGAAGCCTTCAGTACGAGTTCAGATCTCTCAGCACCACATTTTAGCTTAACAGGAGATCGGTGTGCGTGTGTGTAGGTCAGTGAGGAAAATAAGTATTTGAACACCCTGTGACTTTGCAAGTTCTCCCACTTAGAAATCATCATGGAGGGGTTTGAAATTTTCATCTTAGGTGCATGTCCACTGTGAGAGACATAATCTAAAAAAAAAATTAAAAAAATCCGGAAATCACAATGTATGATAAGTATTTGAACACCTGTGAAAATCGATGTTAATATTTGGTACAGTAGCCTTTGTTTGCAGTTAGAGCATTGAAGATGGGTCGTGGCTGGGTCTTCCAACATGACAATGACTCGAAGCACACAGCCAGGAGAACCAAGGATTGGGTCTGTAAGAAGCATATAAAGGTTCTGGAGTGGCCTAGTCAGTCTCCAGACCTAAACCCGATAGAAAATATTTGGAGGGAGCTCAAACTTTGTGTTTCTCAGACGGCCCAGAAACCTGGCTGATCTAGAGAAGATCTTTTTGGAGGAATGGGCCAAAATCCTGCTGCAGTGTGTGCAAACCTGGTGAAAAACTACAGGAAACATTTGACTTCTATGGGGGAAGGAGGTTGTTCCCCATAATCTCTCAATACATGGTCTCAGTCATCCTCTCCTTAATACAGTGCAGTTATCCTGTCCTATGTGCAGAAAAACACCCCCAAAGCATGATGCTTCCACCCCCATGCTTGACAGTAGGGATGGTGTTTTTGGGATGGTACTCCTCATTCTTAGTCCTCCAAACACGACGAGTGGAATTAAGACCAAAAAGTTCTATTTTGGTCTCATCTGACCACGCATAACTTTCTCCCATGACTCCTCTGGATCATCCAAATGGTCATGGGCAAATTAAGACTGGTCTGGACGTGTGCTGATTTAAGCAGGGGAACCTTCCATGTCATGCATGATTTTAAACTATGACGTCTTAGTCTTCACTAAGGTGTTGAAAAAAGTTAGATTTTCGCAAATTTATAAAAAAAAAAACCCCGAAACAAATCAATTTCCATAAGTATTCACAGGCTTTGTTTAAAACTTTGATCCACCTGATGCTTCAAGCTGAGCACACCTCTCTTTAGACAGTTTGTCCCATTCTTCCTTGCAGTACTTCTCAAGCTCCATCAGGTTGGATGGGAGACGTCTGTGCAGCCATTTTCAGATCTCCAGAGATGTTCAATCAGATTCAAGTCTGGACTCTAGCTGAACCACTCCAGGACCTTCAGAGTGGTCCTGAAGCCTCTCCTTTGAGATCATGGCCCTCCAGGACCTTCAACGTGGTCCTGAAGCCCCTCCTTTGAGATCATGGCCCCTCCAGGACCTTCAGAGTGGTCCTGAAGCCGTCTAGGAAGAAAAGAGTCCTGGTGGTTCCAAGCTTCTTCCATTTATGAATAATGGAGGACACTGGGACCTTGAAAGCAGCAGAAATGTTTCTGTATCCTTCCCCAGATTTGTGTCTCAACACAATGATGTGTTGTTGGTCTACAGGTAATGCCTCTGACTCCATGCTTGCTGTTTGTGCTCTGACATCACTGTCAGCTGTGGGACCTTCTATAAACTGGTGTCTTTCCAGATCAAGTTCAATCAACTGGATTTACCACAGGTGGACACAATTTAAGTTGTAGAAACATCTCAAGGAGGATCAGTGGAAACAGGATGCATCCGAGCTCAGTTTGGAGCTTCATGGCAAAGGCTATGAATAATCTGATGCATGCTCAATAATCCAACTGTGCAGCTGTGAATGTTTTTTTTTTTTTTTGCATTCAACCTTTATTTAAACAGATAAATCATATTGAGCCTCGAAGACTCATTTATAAATGAGACTTGTTTAGACATGGTGTTCCGTTACCGATACAAGCATTTTTACAAGTTCTTGTACTCGTAAAAAATGCCCCGATGCCTGGAACCAATACTTCTTATATACTGGGTGGCACCATGTCCACTTCCATTGCGCAAGTGACCAAAGGTTAAAAAATTTCTGTAGTTTGGAGATATTTTAAGAAAACATGGATTAAATTAAAAAGTAGATTGTCTGCTGTGCTCAGCTAAACTGTCAAGAGGAGGGATGAACAGCAGCTGCTTGGATGAAACATGAAGTGGAGTTCAGGGTTCACTGCTACCAGCAGCACATCACAGCCAACACTGCAGCAAGTTCTCCAGAAACATGAAAACTGGCTCCAGACCAGTGCGGTATAACTGAAGCTCTAACCACTCAGCCACAGCCGCCCCTAAATGTCCAACTATTCTAGGTCCGACAGGAACCACTTCAGCTCCTCTGAGCTAAAAGCCCCTCGTTAACAATCAGCTGAAAGGTGTAAGCGACACACGAGAGGTCAGCGTCACTAAGAGCCTTTATCATGTTTTTATCATGTTCTCTGAGCACAACATGTACAGAACATTGGGAATATTCCACGTCTGAAGCATTTCATCAAATGCACCTGCTGAGTGTGTGAACCCCGGAGCTGCTCTGCCTGTAACACTGTGAGTCAAATCAACAATGCACTCACTGCACACTTAAACTAACAACAGATAATGGACTTACACTGCTTGTCCAAATATCCAGAGTCAAACAATGCAGAAACGTCTCACAACAGATGAGTTGTTTTTAAAGTATCTTCAGCTATGTTTGTTCAACAATATGGTGCAGGCTGGGAATGTCGAGCCGAGGCTCCAAAATGTTGAAAAACTGATGAAATCCAGAATCATCCACCACTGAAAACTGCTGGTCGTCCAGAGCCATGAGTTGGGTTAGAGCAGTCGTCCTCCAATGCGAGAGTTGGGGGTTCAAATCCACCAGCAGTCATATGCCGAAGTGTCCCTGGGCAAGACACTGAACCCCTCATAGCCTTTGATGTGTGTCCAATCGGTGTTTGAATGTGATAAAGTTCTGATTAGTCTCTTAAGAATGATTTGTTCAATTAGCTTTGTAGAGATCTAGTAGACTGCTGTATGAATGTGTAAATGAGGCACAGATTGTAGTGGAAAGCGCTTTGAGTATCTTGAAATAAGATGGAAAGGCGCTATCGTAGTGTTCTAAGGGCTAGGTTAGTTTTGTAGCTTCACTACAATTATATTTAAATAACGGGTTCTCTCTTTTTCTAGCTAATTACAGCCATGCGACAGAGGTACTGTGCGTAGATGGTTTAATCAATGACATGAGACGTTAATTTTCTTTGACCCATCAAAATAAATGTGGTCATTTATTGAACAGAATCAAAATTTAACATCAAAACATTGTACACTTGATTAGACTGATCTGGTTCTGATTAATAAAACTTGGCACGTTTTACTTAATAAAAACAACAGACATTTCTGAAGATATCTAGATTAAAGATGGGAAAGTGAAGGAGTTTAAAGATGGGAAAATGGAGGAAGATGTATCTCTGTGGACCAGAACAACACGCTCCTTTCAAACGCAGCTCGCCCGCGGTACACTTCGCGTGAAGGTCGTGACGACTCTTTACCTTGGCAGAGGATGGGTCCGCTACGGTCAAGAGGTCCCTGGCACGCTACCTTTCAGTGTCTCCTCAGGGCGGCTGTGACTCAGCAGAAGTCGTGAGATACTCCGTTCAACAGAACAAACTTCCTCAGAAGTTGTAGGGCGTTCGCCCGGGGGAAGTCACCGCGAGGCGCCGTGACTACTGCAGAGATGGATGGCTCCATCAGACTGGAAAACTGAGTCCGAAGTTCCACTTAGCAGTGAAAAAACTCCAGAACTCCAGAACAGCTAGAACTGAAGAACAGAACTTCCCTCCAGAACTACCACAGTTCCAGGAAGTGTCGACTTTTAAAGAGTTCTGCTTCCGGTCACTTTAGTACGTCCTGATTGGTTGAAGCAACCAATGGGGGGTGGTTCTAGTGATGTCAGAGGGTCATTACAAGTCAAGAAAACAGCAGGAATGTTTTGAGACGGTTAGTTACAGACGGAGAAATGTTTTGGCGAAGTGAGAAACACTGCAGGTGCCAGTTTTCTTATTTACTGTCTGAGAGTTTTAAAAACACGACAGTCCGTTCTAACAACTTGTTTTTGACTGTCTCCGACTTTTGACCGACATCACTACTTCTCATTTCAGACAGAAGATCAAAAATGCATAATTACTTTGTAAATAGACATTTAACTTGATTTCTAATTTAAATGAGGATTAAAAAATCATTAATACTGTTCCACAGTTGATTTAAAATGAGTGGTTCACTTCAACATTTAAAAATGGTATGAACTAAACACACTTGATTTATCAAGATATTGTAAAATAGTAATGATAATATAAAAAAGAGAGTGTTCTTTCAATTGATAAGTTCAGGATAC